CAGGGGCCAACTCACTGGCTTAGAGGTGATCACAAAGCAGGGGGATCGATGGTAACAAGCCAGAATCCGGCGGGACCGGCAAGAACAGGGCCGGAGAAAATGAACCAGATCTGCCGCAGAGGAAGAAGAAGAAATGGGGGAAAGGAGGAGGGACGTGGGGGTTAAAAACGAGTATATTCGACAGGATTGCTGTCGAATATATAGGGAAACGACGTCGTTTCCCATACATTCGACAGCAATCCTGTCAAATATATAAGAAACATAATCGACAGCCAACAGGCTGTCGATTATATATATTCGACAGCCGAGAAGCTGTCGAATAAAATGACATATTCGACAGGAATGGTGTTGAATAAGTTTTCTGTCGAATATGTGGCAAAAAATCGATTATCATTGACAATCAACCTTATTCGACACCATTCCTGTCGAATATGTCATTTTATTCGACAGCTTCTTGGCTGTCGATTATGTATTTGTCGGTTTTGCCCAGTTTTCCAGTAGTGGGAGATGATTATCTTCTCTTATATAATTCATGATTAAATATATATATAAAAAAATACATGTATAATTTAATTTAAATTTTCCCTATAATGTCTTGATTCTTTCATATAACAAATAAATAACATGGGAAAAGAGTTCTACTAAAGTGAAATCACTTAATAAAAATTAAATGTGAAAAGAAAATCTTTTTAATTCATATTCATTTATTATTTAAAATATATTAAATCAAAAATATACAAAAGTGAAATTAAAGTAACTAAATCAGATGTTAAGGAGTATATAGCAACTGCTTTTTGCTCTCTTGACCTATTAAAATTTCTTTTAAGTTTGTTTAAAATAATGATTAAAATTTAACAAATAATAAATAGTAAATAAAAGTAGTAAATAATGGATAGAAATTAATATCCATTTGATTCGTGAAAAATAATTTGGTATTACTATGCTCTCTTTACTCTATCCGTGGTACAAGAACCATTCTCCTTGTATGAAGAAAAGAATTCTTTTACCAAAAAGACGAATTCCTTTTCCCCTTCCTTTTCCGGGGGTCCATAGTCCATACCTTAACTCGTTTCTCACACCAAAACACAACGCCATTGGAAATGCCAACACAAAGTAGCCGCCGTTAAATCCTTAATGGCGAGGGCATCCATCCAGATCTCATGTCTGTAAAAGGTTGGCAACCGACTAATTAGATTTTCTGCCCAATTGCTTTTAATAAAGGT